GCGGGTCAACCACTCCACCCCAGCACACCCATTTTGGCTTCACAATTACACCTTCCACACTAAGAACGTGACCCCCAGACTCCCTCCCAATGCCCCTTTCTTACTTTGTCTGGACTTACCTATCCTGGGTCCCATGACTGCTGAGGTGCAATGAGTTCCAGCCCCTATTTCAATCTCAGGACCGGAGCTTGGCAGGAAAGAAGGAGTGAGCACCTTATCAGGGACTCGTGGAGACGGCAGCCTCGAGCCACAGCAGGGATACGCTATCGAGCGGACTCCAGGCACGCTGGGCAGATGCTTTTTGAGCCACACTGCACAGCAGCTATCTCTTCCAGGTATGGGTTGGGAAGTCCTATCTTGACCCAGCTCTCCAAGTGCCTGTCTCCCTTGGTTACTCTTATGTCTCTCTGCCCTGACCCTCTATCTGTGACCCAGCTCAATAACTCACACTCTTTCTGTCTCTTTCTCTTTCTGAATTTCTGTGATCTCTGGCTGGGGCAGCCCGGGGCCAGTTGTGTAGGAGGCTGGGTTTGTTTAGTTCCAGCCCCTCCGATGGGAGGAGGCTGCTGTCTCGTCTCCTCTCAGTCTGTTCCTTCCCATTTCTCCTGGATATTTTCTCTTACTCTGCTAGCAGTGGAGAGGTGGGGCCCAACGGAATGACCCGAAGATCCAGGGTCATTCAGTGCTGATTCTCAGAAGACTGGAGTCTTCTCACTGTGCTCCTATTCTCAATCTGAGCCCCCTGATCCACTCAGCTCTTGTCCCCCTCACAGAACTTTTGTCACTCTCCAAGAGCCCCACAGAGAAGCCCTGTTCCTCCACTATCCTTCACTAAACCGCTGTCTTCCTCAAGCTCCCACCCCCTCTCACTGAACCCCCACCTCCTCGCTGAATCCAGGGCAAGAAGGGACTCTGTCCACTGGGAATCACAATGGCCAGCCCGCCTGGGAGGGACTCATAGTAGCAGTTCCATAAAGTTATGGCCATCTCGGTGGAAGGATGGGAGTCAGGAGCAGAAGGCGAATTCCCGGAGTTTGCTGGACTGAGGACTGAGGATGGAGGCCTTGGAGTCAGACAGGCCTGGGTGCCATCTCAGCCCTGACATTCACTGGTCACCTGACCTTAGGCAAGTCTCTACACCTCTCTGAGCATCAAGTTCCCTCATCTACAAAGAAGGGGCAATGTTCCTCATTTGAAGGGCTGCTGTGAAAGTTTAGTGAGCGAGAAGGAAGACGACCCTGAAAGCTTGGAGCTCAGAGAAGGGCGTGACAGAGGTAGAGCTTAAAACAGGGCTGCAAGAGATAAATTTATCTTGGATTTGCCTATTCCCGCTCAGCGCTTTCACATGTGTGGCCCTATCGGGCCCTCCTATTGACCCTGTAGACCAGGAATTTATTCCTCCGTGTTACAGATGAGGCATTGAGTCTCAGGATCTGCCCAGAGGTCACCCAGATAGTAGGTGAACCTAATCTAGTTCCAGGAATAAAGTCTTTACATGAAATGGGAATATGCGTTTGAAGTCCAACTTTCAAGGTGCACTGATAGAGAAATATACATCGGCCCCACTTGGCTCCTAGTAGCTGTAGGAGGAAGCTAGTAGGAAGTGAGGAGTATTTGAAATAATAACAGACCAGCCTGACACATAGTAAGCACCTAATAGATACCTATCGCATGAATGAGTCTGAGAAACTGAAAGTATGAATGCACGACCAAGGCCCTGGGAAAGGTCAGTAGTTGGCTTGGATTGATAGAAAGACCAGACCCAGATCCTACTTAAGAAAACCAAATTGGGTCTATCTCTCTCAATCCTTCAGACCGAAGTCAGCACTGCAAGTCCTCCTTGAGACTGGCAGAGGTGCAGCCTCCCAGAATCCAAATTGCAGGTGCACAGTTGAGAGAGGAAAGGTCCTTTTAGACTTTCTGGCCCCCATCTTGGCCCTGGGAGCTGAAGAAGTTCTACATATGGATTGGTCTGGATATGTACTGGGGCTAGCTTGCCTGGCTAAGTTCATCTCGTCAAGGCACAACTGGGCACAGAACACATACAGTAACCTCAGGCAGAAGCAGTGTTCATTTATCACCTCAGCTTCCCCAGGCTGACACAGCCTGGTCCAAGAATTTTCCCGAACTCAGCTGTGGACTTGGAGCGAGGGTCAGATACCCGGGAAACTCTGGGAATTAGATTAACAGGCCTTTGGATGGTTCTTGGGGGGTAATCCTGCAGTGAAGTCCCAGTGTGAGTGGCCCAGGCTTGAAGTTTGACCAATCTGGTTTGCACCCCAGTTTTGCCACTTGCCAGGGTAGTGTTTGCTGAGTCCTGTGCATCTGATGATGTTTGTAGATCGCTACACCATCTGTGGATTCTCCAGTTTGCACACTTGATGCCTTTTTTGAGTTGTGCTGTTGGCAAAGCCTGGCATGGTTTGCAGAGCTCTGCAGCTTCCAGGGCCCCACAATGTTCCCACAGCTTGTGTGTCCTTGTGCCGAACCTGAAGCTGTTCATAAAACCCTAGGCTGTTTGGAGAACCCAAGCCATTTCCTATGTCAACCCACACAGGGAAATGCCTTTTTGCTAACCAGGCAAAATAGGAGACTATTTTGTAGAACTGAGATTGAGTTCTCAGTTCTGGGCTCCAGACATGAGATCTCAATTTTTCTCCCAGCTCTGTTACTACCTTGCTGTGGGACTTTGAGCAAGTCCTTTCTCCTCTCTGGATCTCAGCCTTCTCACCTGTTAAATGGAGATCATGAGGTCAAACCACTCATCTTCAGGACTGTTATAAGATCACTACAAAGATCCTAGGAGACGAGGCTGGGAGAAGAGTGGTCAGAGGCTCCTTCCTTAAAAGGGTTCCAAAATGCCACCTCAGCACCTTTGCTGCCATTTCCCTCTGGCCTGGTAGCCAGGGAGCGGATATCTATAAATGAGCCCTTGGCCAGGCAGACAAATGAGAGCCTCTGTCAAGGCCTCAGTTTTCCCCACCCCCAGA